AATAAAGTAATAAAAATAATATTTACTGTGCAATCCTATGTACATTTATGTTGAAGTAAATGTAAATGGAACTCAATGAGAATTACTTCAGAACATAGGACTGAGACTGTCAGAGTCCTGGTCCATCTAGCTCAAGATAGTTTACTCTGGCTGGCAGGAATTCTCCGGGGTTTCCAGCAGGGGTCTGTCCCAGGCCTACCTGGAGATGCCAGGAATTGGACTTGGGACCCTCTAAATGCAACGCAGGGGCTCCATCATTGAGCTACAGCCCTTTCCCAACCTATGGGTTCCATGCATTGTTAAGCTCTAATCCCATGATGGTTTACTTATTGGGATAGAATGTTTGTCAGTTTAATTTCTCTCATTTTTCTGTTTCTCAATCTGTAGCAATGTGTGTGTGTCTCTGTGTGTGTGTTTTAAAAAACCTATTGAAAATCCATTAGCACCTTTCCCAGTACGTTTCTGAACACAATTAAAAGTGTTGGTACTGACCTTTAAAGCCCTAATCGGCCTTGGTCCAGTATACCTGAAGGAGCATCTCCACTCCCATCATTCAACCCGGACACTGAGGTCCTCCTCTGAGGGCCTTCTGGTGATTTCCTCCCTGAGAGAAGTGAGGTTACAGGGAACCAGGCAGAGGGCCTTCTCAGTAGTGGCACCCACCCTGTGGAATGCCCTCCCACCAGATGTCAAGGAAATAAACAACTATCTGACTTTTAGAAGACATCTGAAGGCAGCCCTGTTTAGGGAAGTTTTTAATGTTTGAAGTTTTATTGTGCTTTTAATATTCTGTTGGAAGGTTCCCAGCCAGATGGGTGGGATATAAGTAATAAGTTTTGTTGTTGTTGTTGTTGTTGTTAATTATTATTTAGTGTGAATTTCTTCTTCATTTTGCAGTTTTGCCTAACATACACATTCCTGCAAGCATCCCCCCTCCCAGTATAACACATTTTGCATGCTATTTTCACTTATTTATTGTTATTTTGCGCACACTTTCCCCAAATACATTCATTTTTGTGAACATTGTTTGGTAGAGCAACTAAAAATTCAGGTAAGTACAAATTTCAAAGGATATCACTCAAAATGCAACTTCTCCCACTGTGGTGCAGTTCTTCCACACACAAAATTTGTTTTTATAAAAATGAGGATGTACATAGGCTACTCTGATTCAATTGGCTGGACAGAAAGAGGTGTCATTATCAGTGGGTTCTGGTGTCTAATGGGATTGATGGGCTGGGAGATAGAGAGACTAATGCCACAGCCAATGACAGAGAGAGCCATCCCCAAATTGATTGTAATGAAGATGGCAGGCAGATGAGAGCTAGTCAAGGGCAGATCAAGGTTAATGGGTCTTTGCTTTGTTTGCCCAAATATGCCAGCCTCACAGTGGCTATTATATCACCGATATAATGTGACTGTTTCTGAACCTGGGTTCTCAAATCTGTTACAGATGGAGCTTGGCTCAGTGTACGAGGGCTTCAGCAGATGGAAATACAGCTTTAAATGTATTATTTACTGCCCAACCAAGGGAAGAATAAATTAAACATAACAGGTCAGTGCTTTCTCATAGCATTTCTGAATTTTTGGTTCTTATTAAACAGCTAATCCTTTTTTAAAAGCTTATATAAAAGACTTTTAAAATTCCTAACCAGCTATATACAAGCTTGTATAAAAGACCTTAAAATTTCTTAACTGGCTACATTTTGAATTTGATTGAAATAGCTGGCACTCCATTCACCTAATGCACCATTTAACTTCTACTACAAAGTGGATTTCAGGAAGCATTCAAAAGTTGTCCAGTTAACGGGGGGTGCGGGGGAGCTACAAACATTTTAATTTGCAAGCTTGTAGATAAGTTGTTATTCCATGGAACATGCAGTAAAATCCCATAGATGCTTACTGAGAATGGCAGCCTTAGTGAGTTCAATCAGATTTACACCCAGGTACTTCCAGAATCCTTGCAGATGTAGGTTACCTGGTTCTCAAAATTTCAGCAGCCCCTGTCAGCATAATCACTGGTCAAGCCTGATAGGTCCAACAACAGATTCCCACCCCTGGAAGAATTGCTGCTCAAACAAAGCTAGGGACACATTTATCAGCAATGTCTCATATCTCTTTTCTGACATCTGATCTATTCATTGGAGAACGTTGCCAAGGATCTCAAAAACGTCCACGGTCACAATGAACAATTGATATATTTGCATTTGAAGTGAAAACGAAGACCCATTAGCTTGCTATTTCTTAAAGTACCGTAAATATAAATTGGTCTGTGTAGCTTTGTCATTTTCTTTTGCAATCACGTACATTTGACAGTAGGGTTCTCATTTGAAACAAGCTGTGGCTGCTCCTTTCCAAAAGGCATACCTGGAAAATTAGGATTGTCCTCAGTGTTAGTTACACTCAGAGTAGACTCACTGAAATGAATGGATATAACTAAGCTGGGTTTATTAATTTCAATAGTTGTACTTTGAGTAAAATGTAATTGGTTGAAACCCATAGTTATCGAGAAAATTACCAGTGAGTCTCTCTCTCTCTCCCTGCCCCTTCTCTCTCTTTCTCTCTCTCTCTCTCTCTCTCTCTCTCTCACACACACACACACACACAAGAATGAACAAGTTTGTCATCTCCTCTAGCACTCAAAATGATTTATTGGCATGGGGAGTAGTAGGACTGTCAAAAATAACCGGAAGGAAGCAAAAGAAGCAGAATATTTGGTTAACTGGTGGGTTTTAATTTGGAAAGGAACATAAATACACCTTTTCTGTATGTAAAAACAAAACAGAGTGTCCTTCTGCACTCTCTGTACTATTGCTGAACCTTCTGATAGATGAAAGAGGTCAAACGATGGCACCTCATTTGAGAACTTTTGTCTCTATCCTACGCAAAAGGTGACAAACTGCCAAGTAGGCAAACCAGCAGCTCAAAGGAACAGGAAACCCCTGCTGGGTCTGAGTTCCAGCCAGCCAGCCAGCTGTAGCTCAAACTGGCAGCCATATTTCCATATACACTTCCATCATTTGGCGAGCCATGAGCTAGATTTATGCCATGCCATCGTAATTTAGACTGCAAGCTTCAAATCCCCAAACCACCATTGTTGTTAAGGGTTTCAGTGGGAAAACTGGATAAATAACTGGAGAAGAATTGATTGAGAGGCATGTGGTTTCGGAATTTCCATGCTAATAAATTAATGAACTTTATGGGTGAATGGACTTCAGTGAGGCTCCCTCTACTCTCACTAATCTCCCATTTAAGATGCATATAAATCTGCTGAAGGGACATACAGTTCTCCTAGTGATAAATGGGAATGTCTGGAGTGAGAGCCGTGTCCTTGGGGGTATAATAAGGACAGGTGTTAGCTTTAGTCTTATTTAATATCTTCATTAATGATCTAGGGGAAAGAGGTAAACAGAACATTAATTAATTTAATTAACAGATTATGCTAAATCAGAAGGTGCTACAAGCACTAGCAAGGATGGAGAGAACTGCGAAATACCACTAGGAATTAACTAATTGAGAAATAATTCATGCTTGGGATGGAGGGAGTTATAGAGATGTCAGATATATATGTGTGTGTATGGATTAAGAATAGTATTTCATATACTATTTCCACCATTCCATTCATTGATATGATGGGAGTTTTTTATTGCATTGTCTGAGGTGATGTTTAACCTACAAACACGATTAGATGTGAGCTGTAGTGATGAATTGGGAAATAAAAGTAAGTGAACTAGTAACAGCCACCCAGAGTGTTGGGGCAACCCAGTCAGATGGGCAGCAATGATAATAATAATAATAATAATAATAATAATAATAATAATAATAATTTCTATTGTCCCACCCCATTGGCTCTTCCTGGCAGGTAGAAGGTCCTCAATCCAAATAAAGCTGGGATCAATGAATTGGATTTAGTAGAGCCATTCTGTTTGTGGAAACAGTCCTTTCAATCACAGGAAGGATGCTTTGTTTTGTCGAAAGGGTGTGAATGCAGCGGAAAATCCATGGCACCAGAGTTGTGAGTGTGTTTGTGGTTATTTTCACAGATGCCTCCTTCCTCCTGCATTAGTGTAGTTCAGTAATTTTATACCCCACACTTAATGCTCTTATCTCCACTCCCTTTTATAGAGAGTAACATGTTTGCTTTCTTGAAAATCAAGCTGTACTATATTTGAGGATCTTCCTGCTCATACTGCTGAGAGGGAAGTACAGTGGTACCTTGGGTTAAGAACTTAATTCATTCTGGAGGTCTGTTCTTAACCTGAAACTGTTCTTAACCTGAAGCACCACTTTAGCTAATGGGGCCTCCCACTGCCGCCGTGCCGCTGCTGCACAATTTCTGTTCTCATCCTGAAACAAAGTTCTTAACCTGAGGTACTATTTCTGGGTTAGCGGAGCCTGTGACCTGAAGTGTCTGTAACCTGAAGCATCTGTAACCTGAGGTACCACTGTATACTTCTGCCCCGAATATTTGTATACTACCTTCAAGGAAGTTGCAAGGAAGCTGTAAAGGCAAGGATGCTTCCTTCTGCAATGAAGATATACAAATTTAGGAAGTCTTAGATCATGGAATCAATCAATCAATCTCCTTTATTTGCATAGAAAAGGTGCATTGTATATATGGATCAGAACACAACAGTTAATGAAACACAGTAGGAGATACTTTAGGATAAAACTGTCTGGACATCGTGAGGTAAGAAAATGGCTCTTCGGACCTATGGTGATGCAATTTCATGACTATACTAAGTCCTGCCACATTCTCCACAACAATTATTCAGCAGATAAGTCTTCCTGGAAGTATCAGTACGATAAATCCCCTCCTTCAATAAAGGGGCCAAATACTTATATATTTTTGCATAAAATCATAGAATTATAGAATAATCTAATCATAGCATTGTAGATTAGCAAGCATCCAGAAGAGTCACCTAGGGTGGCCATAATTCTGGACGCCAGCGAAATTGTTCCATTTTTTACACCTGAAAACCTGACATGTGGCACGAAACTTTTGCCCAACATAGGGCTTGAATCCATGACCTGAGAGTAAGAGTTTCATGCTCTACTAACTAAGCCATCTCAAAATAAAATAAAATAAAATAAAGCATGGGGTTAGAAGTCAGTGATGAAGAACCTGGATGGACCAAATTCTCAAAGCTAATGAAGGATATGGCCTGAGACCCTCTTAAGACGTGCCAATGTTTGGTCCATAGGTGGCAACTCCGGGGGTCCTCCCTCAACATACCTGTGGATATGTGACAGTGAAGAGGCAGGAGCAATTATAGGAACTGCTCCCAGGCTCAGAGCCAGGAAAAGGTTCACAATTCAGAGGCGACCCTAGTGAAGGGTTGGAGTCATGTGCCCACATTAGCGGTTGGAGTTTAGCCCATTGCAGATGCTTTGTAAACAGTTAATAATGTAGCAGCCCTTGTTCAGGTTCTGTCTCTTGTCTCATTCTTAGTCAAAGCACATTGAATAGATTTGATTGCCCATTTATGATAGTGCAGTTAAAGAAGATATAAAGATTTTCATGATTGCTAATCTTCATTGGATTTTCAGGCCACAGGTTTCCCTTCCACATCCACTCCAAACACTGATGATTGCCAAATTTGGGCAAGCTTTAAAATCCTTTGGGCAGATGTTCTTCTTGAGATCCAAAATGTGTGAGTGAAAAGAAGCCTCATTTGTCTTTGTACAGTCTCATTTCCTTGACTTATCTTCTGCTCATTTATATTAATGAATTAATCCTGCCTTTTAGGCTTGTGTCATCATCATCACCCCCAGTTTTACAGAGCAATTAAGGAGCTTTCCAGAGGATGAAAATCAACAGAATTGGTTTGCAGCTAAGCCAGGAACAGAACTCAAAACTCCACTAAATCTTTAGACTACAAACTTTCCCGCCTTCTGTCACAGTCTTCAATACTTCCATTAATGCATCACTCATCCATAGGGCATAATCTAGTTCGTTTGTTTGTTTTTTAAAAAGTGGCCACTTGGCTACATCCTCATTCTATAGCACAAACATTTGGGGCCTGGAGACACATTTGAAAGTTTAAGGAACTGTTGTGGCTACCACAACTACCCATTTCTCAGAAGAAAAACTGGTGATGCTCAAGATGCAGTCACCCCCTCAAACAGCAGGCAAAATACTATTGCTTCCTCCAGAACCTCACAGATTAAAAAAAGACAACAACCTACACATCTTCCCCCAAACATGCAAAACTTTCTCCCATCAGTGGCTATTTTCTACATCCAGTGTCAGAGGTATGCTTCTGAATATCACTGGGCAGAATTTGTGGCATTTATGTTCAGATTGCAGGCTTCCCTCAGGAATCTGGTTGGCCACTGTGAGAACAAGATTCTGGGCTCAATGGGTCATTGGCCTGGTGTCCTTATGTTCTTAACACATCCAAACAGCTCTTTAAAATAAATGGGAGAGGTAGAGGATTTTAGCAGGTATCAGAGGAGAGTATCTGATGGTGCTGTGACACTCCTGGGTACCATTTGGGGAACCCCAGCTGGAACATATCCTAACAGCAAATTCAGACCTACTAAAATACATGCATTTTGCACAATACAATGAGAAAGAGAGAGAGAGAAAACGAGCAATTATTAGCTACTGTTTAAAAAGCCGGTTTCCCTTAGTGTGCTTGACTTTGTAGAGACAAATGAGTCAGCAAAGGGAGGGAAGGATTAATGATGCTGTTGACGATTATATGGTAATTTATGTCCAATTGTGGCAGGCAGGCATCACCTTTCCACTGGTAAATGTACAAAAACAAATGATTATTTTGTCTTAACACACAATGGAAATCAATTGCTCCACATTAAAGGAAGGCAGTGCCAGAGAGGAACAAGAGGAACAGGGCTTGACTCATCCATCAATAATGCACTAAAACAGCTGTAATAATCAAAGGGACACTGATACTCCACCGCTGTTCCCCTTTGATTGCTCCCGAGTCCTCTAAGGCATGTTGAAGTGTATCTCACCTGCTGAGCTGCTGGACTTTCTGAGTACTTTTCACTATCCCATTTACTCCAGGGGAGAATAAATGAAAGAAAAGGAGCGCAGCAGGAATGAGGGAGAGGAGGGCCACCAGCAAAAGGATTCCAGCCATGGAAATTACATTCAACCGACTCCTGCGGAGGGTTCAGGGATGTATCAGTTCCAGCAGACTGACTAACCTGTCAGAAATAATAAACTGCCCACAAAAGTAACTGGTGCACAGAGATGATATTTCCCCCCGACAGACGGCACTTATTAAAGCAAGAAACAATCTGATATTGAATGAAGAAAAGAAAGGCCATTCTAAACTCATACGCCTGTATGTTTAACTATTGGTAAAGGGCATGCTGAATCAATTTCAGATTTCTTTAATTAAAAAAAAAAATGCTGTCACAATCTCTTTCTCTCTCTTCTTGAATCTACTCTGAAATTTACCACCATCAAAGAAGTTTGTTCTATGATGGTGGTAAATTTCAGAGTAAGGTTCCTTTTGGGTGAGAGAATGAGTGCAGTCAAATTACCCTCGATGGTTCATGTCTTATCCAAACCTTTTGTGCTGTATATTTCATTCATGTCCAAACATTTTCTCCTTTTTACCACTCTCTTCCTCTCTCTTATTATTTTGAAAGCTTTGTTGACTTTCTTCATTATTTTTAAACCTTTATTTAACTTTATGATATAAGCCTCGTTCTGTGCCCAGTAAGCATGGGACGCCTTTGCCCTGTGGCGCTATGGCCCATAGATTGCAGCAAAATACTGGGGGACTGCCTCTCCTGGTATGTCCCACGGAGGACCTTACGGTCTTCAAACAAAAACATATTGGAGGTCCCAGGCCACAGAGAGGTTAGGCTGGCCTCAACCAGAGCCAGGGCTTTTTCAGCTGTGGCTCCAATCTGGTGGAACGCTCTGTCACAAGAGACTAGGGCCCTGCGGGACTTGACATCTTTCTGCAGGGCCTGCAAGACAGAGCCGTTCCACCAGGCCTTTGGCCAGGGCACAGCCTGACCCCCTCCTTTGGCAATCCTCACAGAACTCTAGCCCAATGGTTGCCATTAATCTGATTTGAACTGATTTTATAATGAAATCGATTTTAGTATGTTGTATCATTTTACTGTTGTTAGCTGCTCTGAGCCCGGCTTCGGCTGGGGAGGGTGGGATATAAATAAATTATTATTATTATTATTATTATCATCTTCTCTGTGTAATGGGAAAAAGCTGTCCCAAGAGCCCATGCTTCCGAAAGGAAGGGGGAGCCTATATAAAGCTGCTTTCCCTGGATCTCACAACCACCCTTCACTGAGCAATTTTGGGTCGTTGGTTGACAGGGTTAGAAAGAATTTTTTCCCTCTCAACCTGATTGGCACTTGGTTGGGTTTCCCCCGCTGCCTTTCCCTCAGTGAAATTATGGCTTTCCTTTATTAAGCAGAAGAACACTATTTGTATGAGGGTAGAAACAGCATTGGGAAGGATTGACATAGTTTAGAGGGCCTCCATAAGGGGTCTGAAAGAAGGATTGACCATGGCAAACACAAGCCTGGTCCTCCAGTGAATCCTTGCTTGCTTGGCTTGCACCACGACAAGGTTCAACACTGGCCGACTATCTATAAATATGTATTTATAAAGGCACATTCTTTACATTTTGTTTTTCACTACATTTCCATCAAAACTTTCATCTTGCCAATTCTCCTTTCATATTTCTTGCTGAGCATTCTGATATATTGAGAGGGAATGGATCTGTCGTGTATTAATGACTTCATCTTCTGAGTAAACCATTTATGAATTACATCGCTCCAGAGAACCCACATGCTCTAGAGTAGCCTTCACTAACCTCTTGCCATCCAGATGTTTTAGACCACAAAACCCATCAGGCCCAGTCAGCATGGTAAATCTCAGAAATGGTGTGTGGCATAAAACAGAAAAGCTGACAATAACAATTACCAAAGGTGACAGAAAACATCGGCTATAGCATCCAGTATTAAGAGGCAGTTGTCAAATACCTCAGAAACCAAGGAGGACTTTTGAATGAATGCATTACCACCTCCTTCAATGAAGCAAACACTGTTCCATCATGGAAAGATGCATTAGCTGATTCCTAGACCCACCTAGTTAATCTTTCCATGGCTAGTTTGAATAAGCCATGAGGGGCAAGGATTAAGCTATTATTTCAGGCCAAACAGGGGCAAACATCTTGTTCACATCCACAGGCCTCGATAACTGGAAACAAACTCACAAAACTGGATAATGATAGGACCTCTTGACTGAACTTCTGCCCTTAAGTTTTTCAGTCACTATATATAAAAAAAGAAATGAAGCGTTATTATGTTGAAACCATATCTACCACACTGTAAAATGACTTTCTTCTATTTTCATCGTTACCCTAAGTAAGATATTCTGAAGTGTGGTAGAAGTGATTACAGCAGATGTTCACTTCATTCCAAGGCATTTGTGTTCAGGGCAGCAAATGAATGTGTGTTCAAACAACCACACTAGAATGTAAGCCTGTCTGCCATACTTAGAAGGCTACATTTTGCTAAACATTCTAATTTATAAGGAGACACAGATAGTATGCCTCACATACAGATATGCATTTACTTAAAAGCAAAGGCAGATGCCAGTTGTTCCCTTCAGGTATTAAACATCTGTGGAAAAGAATCTGGAATGAAAGGGAAGAATACATATGATCTGATAATGAGCAGCTAGGAGAGAAGCATTTCAAACAGGGAGAGGAAATAACGAGAAATTTAGCAGCCTAGTTCTTGAAACAAACAACACAGAACACCAAAATCTACTACCAGAATTCAATTAACAGGCAAAGAATGGATGTTAGCATTAACCCTTTTTTGCCCCCTCTCACTGACTTTATTGAGGGGATGACTGAAGTCTGCTTATTTAAGAACACAAGAAAATTCTTTCTGGATCAGGCCAAAGGCCCTTCTAATCCAACATCCTATTCTCACAGTGGTCCAAACAGATGCCTATAGGAAGCCTGAAAACATTTAAGAAATTGCTGGGGCTGTTTCCTCAATTATTATTCACATGGGTATATTTTCTATCACCAGTGTTTTATGCTGAAGA